CACATACATAGTGTTTTTGTTTTTGTGACAGACTGAACGCAGATGAATTCACATTTAATTGCACAAAGCGAACACGATTTTCCTTGCCAAGGTTCATTAGACACAAAAATCAATATTTTGATGCAAAGACAACCAGTTGCTAGGAAGTTGTTTTAAAGAGTACACCTTCAAGCCTCATATTCAGGTCTTTTCAAGGTACATCTAATGGATTTTTGCTTATCTTTTGCCCACCAGTAAAAAAAAATGGTGTATGATTGCTTTAAAAAATAACAGCAGGCAATGTGTAATTATTCACAAATGGTGCATGGTGAGCTACTAAACTTTGTTTTGGCTGTGCAATGATTCACTGAGACAATTTCTAGACTTTGTATCTGATTTCAATCCAATAGAATCGCTTAAGTGCATTCAGTAAAGCGTGACTGCATCCAATAAGAGCAAAAATCCCAAACTAATGGCTTCCTGACAGAAATGACATTGTTATTATACACTATGAGATCTGCTCATCTGTTGTTTTATGGCTCATTTCTGTTCCTGTAGCATTTGAACCCTATAACTTAAGAAATTAATATGCTTGTGTTGTTTTTAAAAAAAAAAATAGGCTACTATGGCTTATTTACACAATGGCAGGAAAATTTACAGGATGATACAGTGGATATCAACGTGATATTTTGATTCTATTATAATGTTTTCTATTATTTTATCTGCTTTAAAGTGAGACAAACCAACTAATGCCACAAATTACACATAATTCATAGAATACCTACTGATTTTGTTGGTTGGTGCTGTTGCAGTTTGTCCCTCTGAAGTGATGTCACTTCCTGAAGGATGATGTCAGTGAAATGGATTTTTACAAAGAAAACCTATAAAAGAATTAAACATATGTTTGAGCAGAGAAACAACATGATCAAACTGAAATATTTCCTCATAAATAGCGTGTTTTTCATGTTATAAATGAACAGCCACACAAATGAAATTACTTAAAATCCACCAATTCTGAAATTTTGATTAAAGGGGTCATATGATGCTGCTAAAAAGAACATTATTTTGTGTATTTGGTGTAATGAAATGTGTTTATGCGGTTTAAGGTTCAAAAAACACATTATTTTCCACATACTGTACATTATTGTTTCTCCTCTATGCCCCGCCTTTCTGAAACGTGTTGATTTTT